CTTCTGGACGTATCCAGTAGTATTTGTGTTTTACTAGGCAGAAATAGATGTCACTGTATCATTACAGAAGAAGAAAAATACCTATGTGTGTAAAGCTCAGTTTAGCTTTTCCTCAATAGGAGTGAAGTTTTTATTGCTGTCTCTGAGCTGGGCTTCCTTGGTGTGTGCCGGAGTGGAAAAGTCAACTGGCCCTGGTCGTAAGAAGATGACGGTGTCTGGGCTCTTATGTTTCTGCCTCTGTAGAGGTGGGCAGGGCTGCCAAGGAGCCACTGGAGAGGAGAAGCAATGGCTGGGAAAGTCTTCCTGTCTGTCTGTCTGTATCTGTCTGCCTGCCTGTCTGTCTGTCTATCTGTCTATCATCTATCTATCTATCTGTCTGTCTGTCTGTCTATCTATCTATCTGTCTGTCGTCTGGGGAGCCACTGGAGAGGAGAGGGAATGGCTGGGGAAGTCTTCCTGTCTGTCTGTCTGTATCTGTCTGCCTGTCTGTCCGTCTATCTATCTATCTATCTATCATCTATCTATCTATCTATCTATCTATCTATCTATCTATCTATCTATCTTTCTATCTATCTATCTGTCTGGGGAGCCACTGGAGAGGAGAGGGAATGGCTGGGGAAGTCTTCCTGTCTCTCTGTCTATCTATCTATCTATCTATCTATCTATCTATCTATCTAGCTATCTAAGACTTCACAATAACGGTAGCATGTGTCAAAACTAGACCTGACATTCATGGTGAGCAAACCTAAGAATGTTACGTAGCTCAACCTTTAACTAAACTGGATCTTCAGTAAAACCTTACTCTAGCTTTGGTGACTCATTTTAAAGTAAAGAAGTCTAATAAGGGCACTGTGAATTCCGTCTTGAGGACAGAGAGAGGCAGTCCTCTGCTGATTTTGTTGTCATTGTTTTTAAGAACATGAATCAAGGCAATGAGACCAGTCACATGATAATGGTGATACATTTAGAGGTGAAAATCTAACTATAGTAGTTCATCAATGTTAAAGTAAAAAACACCTACATCCCAAACAATATTTACTAGTTTCTATGATGTAGTGACACTGTGCTGGCATCAGAGACAGCCAGGTGACACTGTGGTCCCCTCCCTCCAGGACTGTTCACTTGGTGGCGAGTTCTCACAGTGGTGGATGACAGAAGGCCCCCATCCTGAAGGAGAACACACTCTAGTGGAGAAGACAGAAAAGGAATCTGTGGGCTGAAGGAAGTGGTAGGTGCTGTGGGGGCCAGGGTTGGGGTAAATGGTTGCTGCACTTAAAACTGAATATTTGGGGGGCGCCTGGGTGGCTCAGTTGGATAAGTGTCTGATTTTGACTCAGGTCATGATGTCATGACTGGTGAATTCGAGTCCCACATCGGGCTCTGTGCTGACAGCCCGGAGCCTGGAGCCTGCTTCAGATTCTGTGTCTCCCTCTCTCTCTCTGCCCCTCCCCTGCTCACGCTCTGTCTCTCTCAAGAATAAATAAACATAAAAAAAAAACAAAAACCCTGAATATTTAGTTAGCACCAGTTACACAAGATGCCTTACATGATTGCTGAAATGTAAATTTGTTTGGTTCCTGCTAAAATAGAGAGTATCCTTAAGTGGAAGTTAAGATAACAAGAAGTCACTCCCAGATGCTAGTTTATATTTGTGGAGTATTTTTGTGGCTCGTGTGTATGTGTCTGTGTGTCAGCTCCATTAAAGTCACTTGTCACACTTGGTTGGAATACCAACATCGAAGAATATATGGCATAAAGCTGTTTACAGGAGAGGGATTTATCTGCTTATATAACATTTAAAATTTATTTTTCTTTTATAGTTTATCGTCAGGTTGGTTTCCATATAACACCCAGTGCTTATCCCCACAAGTGCCCTCCTCCATGCCCATAACCCCCCTTCCCCTCCCCCCCCATCAGCCCTCAGTTTGTTCTCAGTATTCAAGAGTCTCTCATGGTTTGCCATAACATTTAAAATCTCTAATATGCCTTCCAAGAAGGCTTCTAGCCTGGAAAATTGTAGAGGAAAATTAAGTAGAGAACCAGAATTACAGAAAGCTGGGAAATACTTTGCTAAGCTTTCTGCACACACTGGACATGAATTAGTAAGTGACATATATATATCTCTCTTGAAAAAAATTTTTTAAATTATCTTTTGAATGGGTGCCAATTCTTAGCCAGCCAGAGTTCCTGGCTCTCACTCCCACCCTGGGAGAGCACCGGGCAGGTGGAGAGGGTGGGGTGACAGCATAGGAAATGCTTGGGCACAACCCTAGTCATGGGACCAGCTGTGGAGCTTTTGAAGAACTCAAAAAGGTTCTTTGTGGACTTTATTCTGACAACAATGAGATGTTAATAAAATGGATTAGGTAAAAAGGTGATATGTTTGGAGATGCGGAAAGATTGGTGTGGCTGCCGACTGCCCTGTGAGGGGCAGGGAGCCCTGGAGGCTGGCCGTGATCTAGGTGACACACGATGGGGGTCTGAACTGGTGAATGGAGACAAGTGCACGGATGCCACGGAGGAGGGAGATTTTGCCAGGATTTGGGACCCACTAGTCAGGGGGCTAGTAAATACTGTGTTCAGGATGTGGTTTTTATTTTTAACATTAACGAACTACTATTATAGTTAGATTGCCTCTCACTCTCTGTCCTCAAGACTGAATTCACATAGCCCTTCTTAAGTTTCTTTGCTTTAAAATGACTTACAGGGCGCCTGCTTGTTCAGCACCCTGAGTGAATTGAGGCTGCTATGGTTCACCGCCAAGTCAGAGGACACAGGTAAGGTGCAGTTTTGAAGGGGGTGTGCATAAGAAGGAAATCAGATCTTGGAGTCAGGAACAGTGGATTGCTGAAATGAGGTGGCACAGAATAGGTGAGCACAAGTAACAAAAAAGGGAGAGGCCTAAGAGAATTACCTTAAGTGAAGAAAAACTTCACTGCACTTAAATTGCATATTTAGTACGAGTTAACTGAGGTTTCTACACATGATGCCTTTAGTGATTAGTTAAATGTAAATTCATTTGGTTCATGCTAAAATAGATAGCATCCTCCAGTGGAAATTAAAACAACAAACCACATATCTCTCAAATGTTAGTCTATAATATCAAATACAGACTTGCAAGCTTGGAGACCTGAAGCCAGGCCACAGGCTCAGGCAGTCCTCAGGAATTATTTGTGAACCATGAATTATCCAAATAATAAATAAATAATAATAAATACTTCAAAGATTATTAAGTATTAAAATACTTAAATATGAATAGGTGAAGATACAGTTAACATAGTCGGTCACACAACTGTTTCAAAAGAAAATCTGAAATTCAGTAAGTAAGAAGCGTCGTATAACCAAATCATTTAGCCATCTTAACCAATCTTGGTAAAACAGCGTTCCCCTCAGAGCCCTGGGTGGCTCAGTAGGTTAAGCGTAGGACTCTTGGTTTTCAGCTCAAGTCTGGATCTCATGGTTCCTGGGATGGAGCCCCCACTCTGGGCTCTGCACTGACTGCGGCGTGGAGCCAGCTTGGCATTCTCTCTCTGCCCCTCCCTCACTTGTGCACGCACGCGCTCTCTCTTTCAAAATAAATAAAAAATAAAATAAAACAAAACAGCATTTCCCTCTCCAATCTTTCCCGGCTGACATCTGCATAGCAGTTATCACTGACTGACATGCTATATGCTCGCTTGTTTTTCTTTCTTTCTCTTAACTAGGATGTTAGCTCTACAGGAAAAGATGTGGTCTGTTTTGCTCACTGCTGTATCCTCATTATCTAGTACAATTCCTGTTACATGTATGCATTTGATAGGTATTTGCTGAAGGAATGTCGCTGAATAAATAAAATGAGTGTAGTATAGACTATCATGATACGATAGATTGAAGCAGCAATTTCTGTAAGGCACTGGAGGGAAATATAATTTCACAACTGCCTTTAAACATAATGATATTTAAAGTTTTCTATCTTGGCCAGTTTTCTCACCAGCATTTATCCAAACGTGTATTACATATTCATGTCCCAACGAAGTTTTAAAAACCAGCATGTTCGAATGAATAGGAATATACTTAATGTTAGATGATGCTGTTTTTTTGAATTTACTCTGGACTTTACCCTGTGGGAAGTTTTTGTAAATACGTGCAACTTAAAACCGTGGAGCCCCAAGCGCTCTCCAAGGGCACAGGAGACACCGGACTTTGAACAGGATTGCTGAAGAATCCGTAGAACTCCTTTCTCCACCGTAGCAGCACCCGCGCCCGGGTTTCCGGGAGATCAAAACCACCTTGTGATAGTGAGGTGAGGTGAGATCAATGCTCTTTTCTGGAGACTTAGTTTAGTCTCAGACACCGCGTCTCCCGTGCATGCCGAAGACTGCACGTTCCTCAGTGCGCCTCCACCCGCCGGATTCCCGGGACCCTCGGAATCGTGTGGGTAGTGAGCGTCTGCGTTGCACTGCGCCCTATTTCTGAGCAATGGCATCACCTTTGGTGGCGATCCATTCGCTACAGTTCACGGCGCACTTCGAAGTCCCCGGTGGCCGCCTAATTCGGACCGCGCGGCCCCTCCCGGGGTCCCCCGCGCAAGCCCATCACCGGCCGCCCGGGAGCACCGGCGCGCCCTGCCCGGCGCACACGCCCCGTGAGCAAAACCCCGCGGCCGCCGCGGGACCCCAGCCCCCCCGGGGCAAGGGGCCCAGACGTGGCTCGCGAGCCGCCTCCTCGGTCGCCCACGCCGCCGGCCCCCGGCGCCGTTCCTTCGCGCCCCTCCCCTCGCCCGCTCCCCGCCCGGCGGCTGCCGCGCCCACCGCCGCCGCCCTCGGAGGCTTGTCCCTCGCCGCCCGCCGTAGCCCGGCGCTGGCCGGTCGCCGTTCCCAAGATGGCCGCTGCGCGAGCGGCTCCTGCGGCGGGCTAGAGGCGGAGGCGGAGCCGAGTCACTCCCGCACTTCGGGGCTTCGGTTCCCCGCGCCAGGCTGCAGCTTACCGCCCGCCGCGGCCATGCGAGGCCCCGTGCACGGATGAGAGAAGCCGCCGCCGCCGAGCTGGTCCCCCCGCCCGCCTTCGCCGTCACCCCCGCCGCCGCCATGGAGGAGCCGCCGCCGCCGCCGCCGGGACCCGAGCCCGAGCCCGAGTCCGAGCGCTGCCGGGCGGCGAGGTGAGTGGGGCTGCCGCAGCGGCCTGGCGCCGAGAGCTGGTCGCGTCCGGGCCTGAGCTCGGTCGGAGGCCAAGGGGGCGTGGGGGCCTGCGCTTCCCGCCAGGTGGTGAGGGCAGCATCCAGGCTCCGCGGCCGGGTCGGAGGGGCGGGGTGCAGCTCTGGGTCCCAGGGCACCGCGGCCGGGGCTGCCGAGGGACCCCTGCCCGGGCACCGCGGGGCCGCCCGGGCGTCCAGCCTGCGGGCTCTCCCTGCAGCCCCGCTGCCCGCCCGGGGCGCTGCGGGGCCGGGAGCGGAGTGGGGCACCCCTGGTCCTGCGGGAGCTGTGACCTCCTCCCCGCCGCCAGCCTCAGACCAGGCGTCGCGCAGAAATTGCTTCCATCGTGGCCAGACGAAAATGCTCCCTCTCCTCTGCCCCAGTTCGAGTCAAGAAGGAGACACTGGGGAAGCAGGCACGCACTGGCGGTTTCCCTGCGTTCTCCTGCCCTCCTTTCGCACCCCCGCACCCCCCCGCGTTTGCCGGCCGTCTCTCCAGTGAGAAACTGCACTTAGTCTTTGCAGACAGGCAGGTTGGTTTCCCTTTTTGAGGGTCCTTTTCCGCCTTCGGTAGCATTGTGCAGATGTTGCTCACACGTGCCCCAAAAGTATGGCATTGATTTCTCCAAAACTTTGCTACGGCCTGAAGCTCTAAGATGGAACTTTGGTACCCAAAGCATTTGTTGCATTCTGTCCCTTAGAGACTCTATTAGTTAATTTCATGTCATTTTTTTTTTTTCTGATTGGGAAGTCAAACTCCCCATAATTAAGGATTTACCTCTTCTTATATTGCCTGTGTTTGTACGTTCAAATGCCCTCTTCTTACCCCTGTCCTTTGCATCCCAGAGTAAACTTGCAAGCTGCTGCCCCCTGTCCCTTACAGTGAAAATACTTGCCGGGTTCCTTCTGCATTACTGTCTTGCTCTGTAGTTCACGACTCGGGCGAAGAAGTGTCCTCTTTAGTTTTCCTGCTTCAAGGAATTTAAAACAATTTCTGTAGCTGTAGTTACAACTGAACACGGGAACCGTATTCTTTCTTGTCGACTGGGCCAGCCCAAATAGATTTGTTTTATTTTTATAAGCTGTGCAAAAAGTCGTTCTTCGTTTCCCTAAATTCTGAGATCCTTCTGTGAACTTTTAAGGAGCAACTAACTTCTCTAAATAACAGTATGTGGTGGAATGAGAATTCATTTTGTTCCTTTTGAATGCATCTAACGTTTTTAGAAGTTTTGTCAAAAAGCTTATTGTATAAATTTGTTAGTAGGTTATCTTTGAGCATTTTGACTCATTTAAATTTTTCTTTAAGAATAATAATAGTGAGGGGCTCCTGGGTGGCTCAGTCCGTTAAGCACCAGACTCTTGATTTCGGCTTGGGTCATGATCTCACGGTTAGTGGGTTCCAACCCTGTGTCAGGCTCTATACTGACAGCAAGGAGCCTGCTTGGGATTCTCTGTCTCCCTCCGTCTCTGCCCCTCCTCCCGTCGCGGGAGTATTCTTGCTCTTTCTCTCTCAAAAATACACTTAAGAAAAAGAATAATAATAGTGAACACTTATTAACTACTTAAAACGTGGCATTTGCTTTGCTTCCTTCAGTCTTACAACAACTCTATGGGGTAGGTCCTGTTATTTCTCTTTACGAATGAGGAAACTGAGACACAAAGGTTAAATGCCTTGTCTGAGGTTTCATAGCTAGTTGAACTCAGGTCTGGCTGCGCCTAACACACCCTTAATCACTATGAAGGAGAGGTGTGATTTTATTACCCAGATGGACAGATCAGAAGTTTATAATTCTGTATAACGGTACTTTGGAAAGAAAATTGGGAATTTTCTTAGGTAAAAGTGAAGAGAGAAGTGGAAATGTGCTGAAAAATGACTGTTTTCTCCAGCGATAAAAAGAAACCTTTGATTTTTCAGTCAGGTTTTGGTCTGCCTTTGTTATAATAAAAATAGGTCAGGATAAATGGTCTTCATCCAACTTTAAGTGAACAGCAGGGTGCAGAACAAGAAGATCTTAGAAATATTTTTCTTAGCAACATTGCAGTTAATTTTACAATAGCAAATCTGTAGATCAGATTACTCGACAAAGCTGTTATTTTGTCTTTCCTACATGATCCGTCGCCACCACCACCTCTTTAATACACAGACCTGCCCCCTGACGGACTTCCTGTAGATCATTAGTAAGAGATGCTCCAGGGATTCTGCAGCTGTTTACGTGGACTTCTTTTATTTATGTTTGTAACTATTTTAGAGAGGCTCCATATGCTTGTGCAAAATGACAGATGCCACATTTTAATCCTGGAGACTGGTGACGTGATTTATGCTACCAGGGTCACTGGTTTGGGGACAGACAGGATAAAACTCTTCTGCCATCTTTGTTCATGTACTCTGTGTTCACATGTCATTGATGAGGAAGGCTGCTCTATGCCTCAGTCTTTTGTAGAATGCATGTCTGCACATGTTGGCCGGTGCGCAGCCGTGACAGGTGCCAGCCCAGCACATCTGCTTGGTGGGTGCTGACGTGAGAGTTGCGCAATCACCAGGGAACACAAAACAGGTTGAGAGGTGATAGGCGCTAATAGTTGTAGTGCTTATTTACTGTCAGTCGGGGATACTTCTTGTCCTTATTTCTGATTAAGAGTGCTAAGGGTGGTATTTGTTAGTGATTTAACTTGGAAGTAAACATTTCTTATAATTTCTTTTTCAAGCTTCTGGGTCATTTGTAGGAGGATTCTGAGATTATAAGGAGAGCTATTAAAACTAATTTGGAACAATTTACTTCTGTGATTTCTTGAATCTGCACTTAAAAAAACACGGAACTTGGATATTAAGGCTGATAAAGACTGCTTCTATCTGTGACTCTTCATTTAAGATATTTATGTTAAAATAGCCTCCTTGTTCTCACTTCTTGACCTTGAAAATTGTGTGTTATATGAACTTTAAAATGCCCTTTTTAAAACCAAATTACTGGGACGCCTGGGTGGCTTAGTCGGTTGAGCGTCCGACTTTTGCTTAGGTCATGGTCTCGCGGTTCGTGGGTTCGGGCCCCGCATCGGGCTCTGTGCTGACTGCCAGCTCGGAGCCTGGAGCCTGTTTCAGTCTGTGACTCCCTCTCTCTCTGACCCTCCCCTGCTCACACTGTCTCTTCTCTCTCTCCTAGAAATAAATAAAACATTTAAAAAAAAAACAACCAAATTACCTTTATTTACTATTTATATAATATGTCGCTGTAAGTTCGTTTGAAAAAAAATGGGTTTCACTACAGAAGAGTACTTGAATCTTGTACCACTCCTAGGCAGTTTGATCCCCGTCTCGAATGTCCCCCTTGAGCTTGCACGTTTCAATCTTGACACTGGAGGTCTCTGGTTCCTCCACCCAAACGCACCTTCTGGGGCAGCTGCAGGGTGCCTGGGCGGCATCAGTGGTGGGCGTGGCTTGAGACCCTTCCAGCGCCGGATCCCATTGGCCGGGCGGCTTCCGGCCGAGAGGCAGTGACCCTGCCGCCGGGTGACAGGGATGGCAGAAGCTTTCTCCTTTCCTGAAACGGGGACGACTAGTCTTTCAAGCCTTGTCGTTCCCTTTAATTGTCATATTGTTAGAAGTTGCTTCTACTTCCTTCCCGTGTCTTCTCTTGGTGTCTTGTAACTCTTGTTCTGAGCTCTACCTGAAAAATGGGGATATAAGGACTTCACTGCTTACTGGGTACATTTGCTTTAATAACTTCCTGTTACTTAATAATTCCTCATTCCTCAGTGGTTATCTCTTTACTCATAGCATTCTGTTGTCTCAGCCTTCTTCCTTGACTCGGTGGTATCCATTCTTTTTAAAGGCATTTGCATGTTGCCAAACAGTAGACCACTAGAAATAGTTTCTCTAAAGAGAAAATACAGGTCATGTCAGAAGAGGAGCCTGGGCAGAGACTGCTGTGAGTCTTTTTGAGCTGGCATTCTCTTGGCAGGATGAGTTCCAGGGCCTGTGCCTCAGCCCCTGCTCAGCTTTGTCTCCGCTGTATTCTTCTTGCCTATAGAAAGCCAGGCTATAATTAGGAAATTGATTGGTGAGCATGACATCAGCAAGGGAAATTAGTTGAAAGATCTTAGCAACTCATGTTAACAGACCAGGGAGGTTGGCTTGTACCTCCTTCTTCTAGTATGAGAGGCGTGTGACAGAGCCTTACTCTTTGGCTTTCATTTCCCTAGACTTTGCACAGGCTGCTTTTTCCCCCTTCTCATCACTAACTTCCCTCTGTTAGTTGCGTTATAGTGTGTTTGTTTACAATCTTCACTCTTACTTTAATTAGACTATGACAAACCTTGCTTTTGTGGCTATACTTTGAGGTATATGGTATCCTTGTCCCTTAAAGACATTTGTTTACAAACCCCTCAGTGCTAGATTTTTAGTAGTGGGGAGTCTCAAGGTCACCTAACTGTCTCCACCCACTGCATAACCCACCCCCTGCCGCCACCCCCCACGAAGAATCCTGTGGGTAGTTTCTGAAGAAGGTGTGCCAGTGGTTGCTGCTTTCATAAAACGCTTTTTGACTCTTGTTATTATGTTCAAAAACAGATCATGATGGTATGTGGTTTTTCTAGATTTAAATCATTAAATTGAAGAAGTTTAGAACCACATTAGAATTCTGTGCAGCTGTTAAACTCCCTCCTCTCTTCTTTTTTTGAAGAATATGCAGTGACATGGAAAAATGTTCATGATAGAAGTTCTTCTAGAAAAGTCTTTATAGATAGGTGGGACCTGAGTATCTAGTTGTAAAAAGATTCTCAAGTATGATGTATACATACCCTCCACTGCATTCAATAACAGATTAGAAAAAGAATTTTTGCAGAACATGATAGCCCGACGTGAGGTGGCTGCACAGCCAAGTATGTATTTCTCCACCAGTATGTCTCTCCTTCCTTCGCTCTCCCTGTCCCCATTGTCCTCTCTTGTTTCTGTTGGCTCTGGGTCCCTGATT